GCCTCATCAGTGTAAGTGACTGGTCACACCTACAGCGGGTGTATCTGGTTCTCTCTTCAGCGCGAGCGGCCGGATCACACTCGCAGTGGGCCCTTCTTCAAGAGCTTGCATTCTCTTCAGGATACCCTCACACGTGCAGACGGATCGCCATGTACACCTGGCGCGGCTCCTATCCCCCTCTCAAACGGGGATGGTTGCCATCATTTTCTTGCGAACACTGCGAACCCCTGGCGCTCCTTCTTCCAATTCCCCTCTCCACTCATATCCACCCACCGATACACTCGAGCCCCGCCACTTTGCCCGGTCTCTGTGTACTCCAGGTACGCCCCTCCAGTCTGAATCCTCCCCTGCTGCCGCTGCTGGCCAACCTTTGTCTAGCCCAACCATCCCGCATGCGAGGGCTGAGCACATTTTGCATACTCTCCTATTGTTCCTTGCCCCCCCCCAATCCTTCTGCCAACTAGGCCTTTTGCATGAGGGCTGGGGACGCCACACATGCTTCCTTTGAATACCTACCCCCCACCAGCGACCCTGTCCGACCCGAGCTGTTCGGATCACATCACTTCAACCCCAGGCGGGGCGCGACGCAGCGCACACCGAGCACATTTTCCCGTTCTCCTCCGCCCACATCGGCCCGTTTCCGACCACCTTCAATGGGCTCGCATCCTTTTTCCGATCAACCCTCCCCCTTCTGCAGCTCGTTGACCCTGCCGCGTTCAGTCGTGATGTGGGCTGGGTACACCTGGCGCATCCTGTCCCCCCTCACTGCCGCCTGCCTGCTCTTTTTAAACTCGGGCTGTATGAAGGAGCAAGCTGCAGACGCAAGGAACGCTGCTCCGACCCTAGCTCAACCTGATTCTCTCTGTGAGCTCCGATGTGGGCTGTGTACACCCGGCTCACTGTGCAGTCCGCCCCTCGTCCGAATGAAAACCCCTCTGGTCCATTACTTCTTCTATATCCGTGGCCTTTACTGCAAGTATCAGTAAGGCACGCTGCCTTCCCGAGCCCGAAATAGAACAGCGGCCCATTGGTATCAGCGGTACTAAGCCCACGGATCCGCGGTACTTCCCTTCAGCAGCGGTTTTTCCGTTGGTGCCGCGGTTTAGGCCCGGGAGTCAAGTATTGCACCACGAAATAACAACCCCAGACTGCAATGACCCGCTCCAGCTGCCATTGTTAACTCAGTGACCGTGACCGGAAATAAGTGGACCAAAAATAGTGAAAACTCAGATCTTGCCAACCTTGTAGGATCAAATTAAATTGTGCCCCGTTCCTCACCGAAATCGGGCATGTCCTTGTTCCGATCCAGCGGCCGTACCAAAACAATGAAGGATACCGTACCATGCCGCCAATATCGTGTCAACCCCGTACAAGCCACGAACCAAATGTGGCCACACCGTACCTTCCCCGAACCAGCATCATACCGAACCCATTCCGAATCTGAATAGCAGCCTGTCTAGTCATCATACCAGCTTGATGCCAAATACCGTATCACGCAGACGCGCCGTGATAGTACAGAGCCGGCCCCGAAATGTACCTGCGCCGTGACCGTACCCAGATTGATTGTGCCGTCACTATACCAATGCCGAACCTGAAAAAATAATACAGTGGCTTGCACCATATCGCTCCCGAACTAGCCGGTCTCAGCCAAATAATTATACCGGCCCTGTTTCAAACCAGCGTACCTAGCCAGCCGGTCTCGAATAAATAATAGTACCGAGTCTGTTCCCAACCAGCGTCCCGAGCCTGATATACAGTGCCGCAACTTTTCCGGACCTGAAAACAATCTGCCGCCGAGGTCCCAAAACTGGAATATCTGTCAGAATAAATCAGCGCAGCTGTCCGGAGTCTGAAAATACGTCACCGTAGTGACACAGGTATCAACCGCACCCGAAGCACGTCAGGCGCG